CCCCAAAACCCCAAAACCCCAAAACCCCAAAACCCCAAATTGTGCTACAAATGTGAAAATTAAAAATAATTTAGAAATAATAAATGCTAGCACCATTCAAAAGGATGCGAAATAGGTCTCTGTACAACAGATCGAATACCAAATCTATGAATTTAGAAGCCCATTGATGTAAGAATACCTCATATTGGTGGTAATTCAGAGCCGATTGGTCTCTTCATTAATCTTCAGTACCATTTTGACCTTCTTTAGGACCGAGCAGGCGCTTGAGAATGCCTTTAAAGACTACCATAAAGGAGTTTGAATCAGGGGGAACCTTATCTACAAGTATAACCCAGTCTTACCTAAATAGAGTGAATGAAATAGAATCGAGGAGACTCCAGACCAGAGTCTTATGATTTCGAAGGAGTCAAGCTACAGCCCAGAGAAAGATCGCCGCGGTCTGATCATAAATAATTCAAAAAGTTCAATTGCAAATGAAGTCAAAATTTATAAAATGATGAAATAGCATTCCAAATTTTCTGTAAGTCTCTTTCCACATTGCAGGCTTAAAGGATTAGGTTTAGCTCTGAAGAGGAGTCACCCGAAGAAGAGGTCCACGAGAAGTAAGTTAAATACTGCTATTGTATTAGAGATTTCCAAAAACTGCAGAATATGTTTCAAGAGAAAGCTCAGATTAACTGGAAATAAAATCTCTGATTTTATCTTCCACCAGAGTAAATAAAGAGCTTAGGAGCAAACTTAAGATCATCAACCAGAGGTAAGAGGAGGCATGACTGTGAAGAGTTGTAAGAGAGGCTCTCCAAAGAACGTTTGGTCCCATTGACATTACTTTCTGGGTAATCTCTTGTATAGACTTTACAATGACCAAAAACGGCTCTCAAAAATGGCAGCGAGGAGCAAAGCTATCAGTCAAAATTTAGGAATAGATCGAACTAATATCAAAGTAACAAATCTCACCTCAAATAAAAATATTAACGATGATGGAGAAGTGTCTTCTGACTTCACTCCATTTGCAGAACCCAGCAACATCCCTCCCGTTTTAAATAAATACAGGAAAAAGAAGATCAAGGTCCGATGTACACTCCAAAATCTCCGTCCTGTCTTACCTGCTGGAAGACGGCATAAAATTATTGTGAAAAACCCAGCTAAAATACATCTTAAATAAGAAATCAGTCAGAAGGTACAAAAAGCTACATATTAAAGACCGGCCTATCAGTACAATAGTTCATGATAAAACTCTGAAGCCAGATTCTCTGCTGCGTCGCAGCCTAGACCCTCGCTGTAAGAATGCACAGAGGATCAGGAACAATAATCTAACTACCAATTTCCATAAATAGAAATCTTTCTATGGATGAATGAGTTGATTTAAGACAAAGTGACAATAACATCTCTAAAATGTCAAAGCAGGAAGAAATCCCACAAGGGATTTCTTCCTGCTTTGAGGTTCAGAATGGTAACTTTCCTTTAAATCTCTTCAGAATCTATTCAAGATATTTCTCAAGGAAAAATATTCGGAAAAAGCACCAATGAGTGCTGGAAAAGGTAAAACTGAAATAATTCCTGCAGAGAGTTCCAAAGCACTCACTCTACAAACATTTTCTCAAGGGATTTGAAGAATGATTGAAGGCCTAAAGCCGAGCCAAGGGCTCGGCTTCGGGCTCCTAAAAGTTCGAAGCGATCGAAGTAGAGTGACAAGAATTTAATACTTTAGAAGAAAGCCCTTGAAATATTTGAAAAGTCCTATGTAAATTGCAATTGATATATTCTAGGTTCTCATTTAGCTATAATAAGCAGCAAAAGCAGAAAATCTCACAGCTGAAGAGGGTGTTACAAATCCAAAGTATGGACTAAAGTAGTTGAAAGCATTCAATTTAGTATTCTAGCTAGGGGTTTTGGGGTTTTGGGGTTTTGGGGTTTTGGGG